TTGGGCCTGGCTGTCCAGCCAGTTTTTTAGCCAGCAAAGACTATGCCAGTCCAAGCCATGAGCAGCCAGTTTCTTCAGGAGAATGCTGTGCGAAATGGTGTCAAAGGCTTTACTGAAGTCCAGGTAGACCACATCCACAGCCTTTCCCTCATCCACTAGGCGGGTCACCTGGTCATAGAAGGAGATCAGGTTAGTGAAGCAGGAAGGACCTGCCTTTCATAAACCCATGCTGATCACCTGGTTGTATTAAGTGATATATGTCTTAGTTACATTGATTAGGAGAATGCATTAGTAACTTGCTAGAAGGAATCTATGTACAACAGTAAGTACTCATGCAAGTGCTAGCGTAGATTGGGACTTGTCAGGCTTTTTCTTCCATAAATCTTCAGCTTGTCTTTTTAAAAATCTGCCTAACATGATTACTAAAAAGCCACTCTTTTTTTTTTCTTTTCTTTCCCAACCCAAGAATTTGTCCCTTTGTACAGCAGCTCTAATGTACATCCTGAGTAGAGATCGTTTGAACATGGATTTAGACAGAGCTAGTCTAGATCTGATGATACGGCTTTTGGAATTGGAACAAGATGCTTCTTCTGCCAAGCTGCTGAATGAAAAAGACATGAATAAAATTAAGGAAAAAATTCGGAGACTGTGTGAAACTGTTCACAACAAACATCTTGATCTCGAAAACATCACGGTGGGTATCACACTTTATTTGAAAGCCTTGACAGTAGTGGAATAATAAATATGCAACTTGTAAGCATCATCCTTAATCTCATATCTCCCAGCTAAGGAGTCATGACATTTTGTCTACCTTCTATGTATGTATGACTGCACTGCAAATACTTTTTTCTTTAAATTTGAAATTTCCTTTCCAAAAGGCTGTTAGTAGGATAAAGTTATGATGTTCTTCAGCTGTCTGAGTCACCATTCGCTCTTGCTAAGGGTAGCTAGTTAACAGTAGCAATTAAAAACAAGTAACACTTTAAATAACCACGTGTTTAAAGATCACGTTTAGATTATTTGACTCTGTTTCTTTGCCCAAATTTTATATATACATTCACAAACAACAGGGGTTCTTACATGGGAATGAGAGTATTGTGTGTTAAATTGACAATGTGGTGCAGGTTCTCCCATAAAAAAAAAAAATATATCTGTCCTGCAGAAACTGATTTCTCTCTGCCCAAAGTGTGGTGGCAGATCCGTTGATTACCATAAATGTGGAATTTTTGTCCTTCCTTTCTCGAACATACTTGTTTTTTATGAATGTGTCCTCAGCTGCAACAGTGAACTGTTTTTGTTTAAAAATAAATTTGACCATGGTTTGATGCTAGCATCAAGCTAGCTTGAAAAACAAAGGGTAAGTTGCAAGTCTTTTTAAAAGAGTTTATTTAAAGAATTGATGACAGATTGACTAGATGAGTGGTCATAGATGGCAAAAATTAGTAATGTGTTTTTCCTTTCACCATATTTCAGTATAACAGATGTTAGCATGATCTTAATTTTTTAACATCTTGTAATACATTCTTTTAATGTTTTAAAGATTCTTAGTAGGTTTTTACCATTTTTCATGTAGTTTTTATACCCAACAGGAGAAGCTTCCGATTTATTGTTTATGAAGTGAGCTTTTTAGAGAGTTATCTCTGCAAGTAATGTTTCAACTCCTGCCAGTAATCTGTAGTTAAGATTGTATTCCATCTTAGGTTAGATTAAAAGATAATATGCCTTGTTGAGCTGGCATTTTCTTTTGTAGTTTTAGTGACTTTTTTGTTGGTTTAGGAAGGGTTGGGTTTGGTTTGGTTTTTTCCCCAAAATTCTAGCTATGGAACAGATAGCTAAATGGGTATGAAAAATCAGTATTATGTAGCAGTAGGAAGAGCTGAATTTTGGGAGAGGAAGGTAATATTGATGACATAATTCTTAACCTTGGTAATCAGTTTGTGGTGACAAAGGAGAATTGTTTCAGAGTTTTGTTTTTAGGCTTGTTTCCTACAAACCCATGAAATGTGCAGGTAGGAGGCTCGTATTAATTTTCTGGCCTTTGAAATCTGCAAAGGAAGAATGAATTTGAGATTATTTTCTCCGCTTTCAGCTTACTCTGTGAATTCACGTGGTACAATCTGAAGATATCAACACAGAATGAAATTTGTTCTCTAGGTGGTGATCAGCTAGGAACTGGTATAATCAGTGTCTTATTTCAGTGCTGTTTTGGCACTGAAGGCAGCTCAGATAGCTCACAGCCTCTCAGTGCCAGGATATAAAATGTAAGACAGCTCCCTCCATTAAGCATGGAACAGCTGGTACAGGTTCCTCATTGCTAAAGCATCCAGCCGCACAGACCACTGTATCCTATTTGAGCTTTTCTCATATTCTTAATCTGAGCTAGGCTGATGTTTTTATGAACTGTAATACTGTTCTTGTGTTCTCCTAGGTATGGGTTTTAAAGGGAGAGGATATATTAAAAGGGATTCCATCTTGGGAGCAAGTTGTCCATGAGTAAAGAGTAATATTATCACAGGCCACCAGTTTCAACTGTTTTTTTTTTGGCCTGAGGCATCTCTGTTTCTTAAAATTATACCGAGCTGTTGTTGTAAATGTGTTGAATACTGTAGTACCTCACAGGTGGAAACTGGTTCCCTCCCAGCTGCAGCATCTAGAAGCAGAGACTATATAGTGTTCAGAGAATGTATGCAAGCCAAATGAGATGATTAGGTTCTCTTCCAATTTATCATAGTAGCAATGGTAAGTTGAGACAATAATGAACTTCATGTGTAGAAGATAAAGTTGCTTTCACATAGATCTCTGTCATGAGATACAATAAGTAATGTCTGTTTTGTACCAGATGATGGGCAGAAAATGCTAACACAAATGCAGATCTTCTGGGGATAAAGAAAAGATCTATGCTTTTTCAGACTCGACCATAACCACTGAGAACAGAAGGATTGCAGCAGATGTTTTGATAACTCTGATTTGTGCCTAACCGGTTACACCTTCGTTTTTTTGAATCCTACACAGATGAAACGAAGATGATCAATACTGCCTATCTCTTTCCACAGACAATGTTGGTTGTGTGACTATCTGGAAGTTAGATCGGACTAATTTTTGAGTACTCAAATAGGTATTCAAAGGGTTCTGTTTTCTAGAGTGCTATGTTCATTAAAAATGTAAACCCAGAAATTGAAAAGGAGTTCTCTGTGGGTTGAATTTGTTCCAGTTTTTTTTCTGGTTTAGGAGAAGATAAAACCTGAAGAACTTAGCCTTTGTGTTAGCAAATGGCACTTGCCTGTCAGTCAGCATAGCCCTCTGTAGCTGGTGCTTGCAGCTAGCTTCTCTCTGTTGCATCATAACGAAAACCTTCAGAAGTGACTTCTCTTTTCAGTTGGTGAAAGAAGTTATTCTGTTTTTTTACTCTCAGCATAAGGCTGAAAGCTTAAGGGAACAATGTTTTGAACCTTCGGTGTTAAAATTTCATGGTAATTGACATAAAAATTGGATAGAATGGATTACTTTCCTCAAAAGCAAAAGGGTTACAAGGTTTGACTCATTTTATTAAAAAAACAAATAAATAAATAAATTGAAAATTATGTTCTTATGCCCAGTAGTATAAATACTAAATTATATTCTCCTGGAGTTTTAAGTCTTACTGCCCTTTGGCTGAAAACTAAACACCATATTTTAAATATTTTGTGGCCTTTGAGTCTAAAAGGTATTTAGGAAGTTAACTAAATCTTTGTAGCCCTTGAGATCTCTAAGGGGAGTTTCTAATCAGCTATCAATCTGGTTTAGGTTATGCATGATTTCAGATATCCATGTTACAATGTTTTCAACCTCAATCTATAAAAGTGAAAGGAATTATCTGAAGAGGATGGAAAGCTTCAGAGAACTAGGGATGGGTCAAACTGCTGCCTTCAGGTTCTCTCCCCTCCTCCATCAAAATGCTTTCTCATTTGGTTGGCTTCAGAAGGGAAGTTCTCCATCCACTGCTTAAAATATCCTCATCTCCTTTAGCATTATGTTTTTAACTTACAGTTTTTAAAAGTGTGAGGTTTTGGATCTTGTATCTCCCAGTGATGAGATGAGAACACTGGAACCAAGTGTGTTTAGTTTCCCTCCTGTGGGAAGACACGATGAGTGGCTGTTGTCAGTTACAGGTAGTTAGCCATTTCCCGGGTGGTGAAACAGTTGCAGGGGTAATTGCAGCTTTGTCTTTGTTTCCTCTGTGATGGGGAATTGAGATGCTGCGGACTCGGGGAGGAATGACCTATTATAGATTAGCTGCTGCTTGCGTCCTCTTGTCCCCCACAACACTGTCATGACCCAAGGACATCTCCATCTACATTGGAGAAATGCTGTTACTACCTACGTGCTCATCAGTGACAGTATGCTGCAGAACTTGCTCCTAAGAAAAGGAGATAACTAACTTTGGGTGGTAACTCTCCTTTATCAAAACTAATCTTCAACTTTCTTTTCCTCTGTGGAAATCAGTATTTTGAAAACAAGGAAAGCAGCTGAAGCTGTTGGGGGGGCTCATACAATTTATAGCTTGGTTTTCCAAGACAATGGGGTGTTTACTTAAGCCTGGTGAGTACTGTTATTCCCAGGAGGTGCTGAGGTTTGAACTGGTATCCCGGAATATGCTGCACAGCGCAGAATAAGGAAAGCCCTCCTTGAAGCATTACAAATCAAATGTATCAGGAGGGAAGATGACTTAAGAGTGGTTAAATTCAGTTGGCTTTAATGAGATCTTATGGCCTTTTCTCTGACCTTTCATTGTAGTATTTATGTACCATATAGGAAATTATTAAGCTTATAGTAGTTCAGGTTTGCCTGTGCGTTTTTCAGGTGTTACAGAAGTCTATACTGGTCGTTTTTGTGTAGGTGTAAATTTATACATATGTATATGTTTTATTGTTAACATTTGCCTTTTATTAGAGGCCTTTGGAAAAACAAGTTATAGTCTTGACTTTATAAAGGGTGTTAGTTTTGGTTAAAAACATTGCAGGGGATTAACTAAGATAGTCACCTAAAATCTCTTCAACTTCCATTTGCAGGGAGCAAATTTATCTTTGCTGTTGTGGAATTCTGATATGTATTCCTCGTTTTCTTTAAAAAAAAAAAAAAAAAAGAAATCGGTAAATACAGTAAGATTTTCTACAGTGTTTTAGTTTGATTGCTGTCTTCTATGAGTTTAAAATTAAAAACACAAAATCCCAAAATACCTATGTTAGAATCAAATGTATTCTACAAGCAGCAGAGCCAACGTATGTGGGAGACAGAGAAGCAGTGTTCACTGTGGCTTTTCTTGGGTTTTTTCCTGCTTGGCTGATTTGTCCATTTCTTTCCTCCACTTGTTTCTTCTGATAACAAGAGAAACAGATGAAAGGAGACTGCTTAGGTTTTCTAAGCTATCAATAAAATCAAGAAAAAGTTTAAAATGCGAAGTACCTTTTTATCAGTACCAAGTTGTTTTTTTAAGATGCGCATATTTTTCAATCTGTTCTTGCTCCCTCTGGTGGTTCTTCTACTCAGAACCTATAACTTTGTTTTTGTGGGTTTTGTATGACGTGTATTTGTATGATTTGATATATTGGCTACAGCTGCATGTGATGATTTCACTAATTCTGGAACCTAACTCTTTCAGACCGGGCATTTGGCAATGGAGACGTTACTGTCTCTCACCTCAAAACGAGCTGGGGACTGGTTCAAAGAAGAACTGCGACTTCTAGGTGGTCTTGATCATATTGTAGATAAAGGTATATTAGAGATGCTGCTTTGACAGTGTGAAAAATTAGTGAATTTTACCAAGATGTTTGCTTTTCTTAATGTTCATTTTCTATGGTTAAAAATAGAAACGTTATGTATTTTTCTCCGCAATGTTAAAGTACACAATTCGATATCAAGTCACTGGGAAATATTAGTGACTTTAATCTGTTGCATGTAGGATTGAAAGTAGTTTTGAAGTTAAACAGAATACGTATCATGTTGCATATAATATGTGAGATTAAAAATGGCTTAAGCTTAGACAGAATACAGATTACTGTGTTATATATCTCTGTGCAGCACACTTATTCTAGAGTAAAATCCCCTTTACAGTCTTCCAGAATTATTTTCAGGCCTGATATTTTTTAACTAAATATCCCAGAGGAAGTCAGCCCTTCAAGAAGAAATGGTGGGTTTTTTGTTTCCTTTTTTAAAGGTATGTCTTGGTTAGGTTTTTTGGATCACCATCTCACAGGTAGGAAAAGGGACATTTCTAAAATGAATTCTTGAGCTGAATAAAGCTTGGTCTTAAGTAAGCAGAGGGATGGACAAAGGAAGAATCAAAGAGGTGAAAGCATTCAACTTGCACACAGTTTCAGACTTGTAAAGGGTGGGGAGAGTGTGCGTGCTGTATCTTCTCTTTCTTGTAGAAAACAGTGTATTACAGTTAAGGATCATAGTCATGTGCTGTACAATCTCTTCATTGTCAGTAGAAAATAAGATACACAGGTAATTTGTGGCAACAATCACAAACTTGTAAAGCCAAAATTGTAAGGGTATTTTTTTTTAATTTACTTGGAGAAATGAAAATTTTTGTAATAATGATCATGTCTTCGTGATTGTTTCCTAGTATTACCGTTTTGTAAAGTGTAAAACAAGGTTGATAGCAACTCTCTGAGTAGCTAGTTAGTTTGTACACTTGGCTTTGGAAGACCTCTTACTGATAGTGGAAAACAACTTCTTTTTGTTGTTTAGTGAAAGAATGTGTGGATCACCTAAGCAGTGATGAAAATGAAGAGAAATTGGTTGCTTCACTATGGGGTGCAGAAAGATGTTTACGGGTCTTAGAAAGTGTGAGTATTAGCAGGTGCATTGCATTTCTGAAAACTGCTTTTTCTCAACTAGACCTTTTCAGTGTTACGTTCTTTCAATTATATAGTTACGTAATAACACTATAATGTTGATTATTTTTTATGGAAGATAGTAACTTTCTGATGTTTATTGGTGTTCCTGGAATGTTTGTTTGAAAATGTCTCTTACCATTCTGTATTTATGTACAACATTGCAAGTTTATTTTTGGTAATAATAACTGAATGCAGCATGGTGCTTTTTCTTAAGTTCCTGCAAAAAGCTGCTGTTTATGGATGATGTTTTCAAGGCATAAGTTTGACTCTCTAGTGTGTGTCTAGTAATAACGCATCATTATAGAAGCAGTATTTTCTTAGAAGCAATAAATCGATGTATATTTTAAGAACTGCTACTTATCTCCACGCATCAGAAAGTGACATTCGGGTTCAGAGTACAGGTCAATGAATCTTAATGAACACATTAAACCCAAGTCAGAGGGCAAGTAGCTACAGCAGTGACTTGTTTTCTTCACTAAAATAGGACAGACTCAAAGATAGTGTAAAAGTTAAGCTAAAAACTGAGAAAGATGAACAATTGCTGAAGTACTAATTCAAGGGTGCCAAAATTAATGGCACCTAGCCCTTTACCTGCCTTCTGAACAGTGAGAGAAAAAATTTCAGATCCAATTTCTGCTTTTATATTTGATAGATGGAATTTCCAAGCAACAGTAGAAGAGCTTTGTTTAGTGGTAAATATTCAAATTTGAACTTAAGAGTGGTTTGTGATATAGTAAGATCCTTAGGAACTTGAGAGAAGAAAAAAATCAGCACACCAAATCATGCAAATATAAGAGAAGAACTTTCACTCTTTCTGAAAATTGATTCTGAATTTCAATCAAGGGAATCAAGGAAAATCTTGATTTTTATGGTTGGATGCACAATAAGCTCTCAGAAGTGAAGTTGATGTCAAGTCCTAGAAATAACATCACGTATTCTGTGTTATATTTTCATATATATTTACATACACATATATCCATACACACTTGGGACACTGTAGTCCCAGGATATAGATTCAGGGTTCTGCTGTGGCAGAACATTCTGCCACATGCTTTCAGGGAAGATGGTTTTCGCCACGATTTTGTGTCATTAATTACAAGGTGAAAACTCCAAGGAAATACTGGACAATGATAAGTGAAAGTTTACATTGGATAATAACCAAGAAATGTGGAACTGAATAAAGTGGGGTGGTAGGGGACGGGAATGCTTCTCTTTCAAGGAAAAAAAGTCCCATTTTTAATATTACTTTCTCCTCCCTTTTTTAGGTAACTGTGCATAATCCAGAAAATCAGAGCTATCTGATAGCATACAAAGACTCGCAACTCATAGTCTCCTCAGCTAAGTAAGTTGTAACAAGAAGACATTTTTGCAGAGCACTGCATGTGATAGGGCAAAAAATAAATTTGTTATACCACAAGATTCTAGGGGGGAAAACCCATACTTCCCACTGTTGCTTTTCATTAAGTAATGCTGAAGTTAATTTAGATGAGGATGTGGGTAGCTACCTGAGTACTACCAACATGTGGTGCTGCTGTTGGTTCTGTAGAAGCTGCAAACTGTGGGTTCAGCTCCTTCTGTACCAAGTTAATATGAACATAGAAGAGGGCAGTTGGGAAGCTACATTTATTTATTGTGTTTTCATTATGCTTAAGTTTTTACTGAAATGGAGCATAACAGAATTGACAGTGTAACTAAGAATTAGAATAGTGAAATTCTGTTCTTAGCTGTTCTCCCTGGCAAAGATGCTTGTACAAACACCTCTAACCCATTTATCAATCTGGGTGAGGTCTCAGTTGACAGGCAGAGATTGCATCCCTCTTGTACTGCTCTTCATAAGAGAACAAATTAAGCTGAGAATTTGACTCTGCAGACCTCATTGGAAACGTAATTTCATGGTCGTAGGTTAGATATTTTGAGTATTTCTTTAAATTAAAAAAAAAACCAACCCCACAGTTTACTGTGCTATTTGGACCAATATATCTTTTTGACATTTTTAGTTTTGTTTGTAATTGAAATCAGTGTTGTTGGTTTAACATCAAACTAATGTCATGCAGTAGAATCATGCTTGTGGTCCAGTAGTGTTATGAGATTAAGATTTTACTGCTAGGAAGTCACATGTCATTTATTTATTTCTTACAGAATGGAAATAGCTCTGAGGACAGAACAAAAGAACATTTAGATAACACTGTCAGACTAATGTTGTGCCTTGATGGTCAGAGGATATGAGAGGCTGGGTTTGTAGGGAGAGGAGATATCTTTTGTAAGACCATGTGATGAAGTTGGAAAGAAAAATTAACTTTTGCTCTTGACATCTCAAGCTGATAAAGCTCTAAGCCACAAAGCTGTCCTGGTTTTGTTTTCACAATTCCAGTTGAGCTCATAGAAGATTTTACAGGTGATAAGTTTATTATCTCTCCCTATAGACTGGGCATCTGGGCATCAGAAAAATTCTGCATAAGCTCTGTATTTGAGTTTTTTTCCTGGTGGAATGTCCTGTATGTTGTTGAGGTGATTTTGTTCTGCATCTTCTCCTTGCAGAGCACTGCAGCATTGTGAAGAGTTAATCCAGCGATATAATCGTGCTGAAGACAGTATCTGTTTACCAGACAATAAGCCTCTGCCTCACCAGAATGTAACTAACCATGTGGGTAAAGCAGTGGAAGACTGTATGAGGGCCATCATTGGTGTCTTGCTCAACCTAACAAATGATAACGGTAAAACAAACAAAATTTTGCATATTCTGCATTAAAGCATCAAATAATACATTCATGTAAATCCTTTTCTTATACTGATTATAGTTTGTCCATGTACAATGCAATAAAGCAGTTATGTATGGTAGATGCTTGCTTTACAGTAATCAGTAATTTGTCTTTGCAAATTGGATGAGTGATTGCAAGTATTAAGTGTTAAGATACATGCTTTGGCTAGGAGAGTCCCATGTGTCTTTAGGGCAAAAGGTTTTTATCAATTTACTTACGATTATGAAAATGAGTTTTCAAAATTGAGCCTCTAAACTCTTTTTGTTTGCAGAATGGGGTAGTACAAAAACAGGTGAACAAGATGGTCTGATAGGCACAGCTATGAATTGTGTGCTTCACGTTCCAAAGTTCCTACCTCAAGAACAGAGATTTGATATTCGGGTGCTGGTAAGCTTTTGTATTTGTTACATTAACATAAAGTGATTTGCTCCCTTCTTGTGCATTTAACTACTCTGGTTCCAAACTAAGGAGCGGAAGATTTCTGTAAAGATTTGGTGGTTCTGAGCTCTAACCATTTTCCCTGTGTTTGGTGGGAAAAAGTGCACTGCTAGATGAACAAAGAGATTTAGCTAAATAAGTCTGTGAATTATCTAGTTTTCAAATGTCTTTTCAACTTCAGAAATATGGTGGACGTTATTGTTTGAGATAAGCTGAGGTAAATTTGACAAAGCTTTTATGTAAAATAGGTCTGTGTGACCTAAATAACAGTGAAATTGTGTATGTGAAGGGTCTTTTAAGAATATAAGCTGAAGGTTGGATACCTGAATCCCTAATCTATAAATGAAATCTCATCTTTAAAAATGTTTTTGTGTTCAGAATTGGAAAAACAGAGATTCCTGCATACAAGTTCTAGTATACAGGGATCTCGGTTTTGCCTCATATTTCTTTAAAACCTGATCCCTCTGTCTATCAAACTGTTTCATAAAGGTGTGTTAAGTTATGTATCCTCAGAAAGATAAGGCCTAAAGAAGACATTTATCTGGATAGGTGTTTTCTGCTAAATTATCCTTTTTTAATATGTGTAATCCTCTTTGACTCTCCAATTCTTGCAGGGATTGGGTCTGTTGATCAATCTAGTAGAATATAGTGCTCGGAATAGGCACTGTCTTGTCAATATGGAAACATCATGTTCTTTTGACTCATTCTGTATGGGAGAAGGAGATGGCCTAAAGATAACTGGACAGATTGATGCTGTTCAGGCTTTAGTGCAGGTAAGACGTGGTTTTCCTGTAATAGTTACCATTTCTCATTATCAGACTGTCAAGGGGGAAGGGAGAACTTGGCAAATCTTTTTTCTGTTTAGTATTTTTGAGTAATACAGCATAGTGGGGGAAGAGGGGTGCCACGCACAACTTCAACTTTTTCAGTACTGTCCATTACAGAAACAGCTTTCCTAGTAAAAGACAGTGGTATCGTTATTACAGACATCCAAAGGCTGCTCTCATGCTCCATAAAGCTTTCTTGTTCCTATATGGTTTATTTCTAGTTTTCTTGTTCCTAAATGGTTTACTTCTAATTTTGTTTTAAACCAGCTTAAAAATTGTAAGCTGCTCTTGTCTTACATACTTTGCTTCCGTATTTTTTTTTTTTTAAAGTACTACCTTTATGGAAGTTTGTGACTTTAAAAAAAAAAAAAAAAAATCACGCTTTATAAGAGGAGTAAAATATGGATGTAATGAATATGGATGTGAAACAGCATTCTTAAATGTTGTATTGACTAACTTTTTAAAAAAAGAAATCCACCAATAATGTTGGTGAATGAGTTCCACCATGCAAACTAAAATAGAAGAATTGAAAGGTTTTTGAAGTGCAACCTTTTTATTTCAATTGAGATAATTTTATGGACACTTCTAGCAGTTATTCTGTTTAACTATGTGAAATAACTGTCCAGCAGCAGACAAAAACAATAAAAATAATAATATTAAATATCTTAATATACAGCTCTGCAAAGCAATATTTAAAACTGGTGGTTTTATGGTTTGGGAAGTAATTCGCAATATGTAAGTGCACAATACGAGATTGCTGGTTTGGTCACATCCTTGATAAGTCATTTTAAATTACTCTTTCAAATTTTTGCTTTTTACATATCAAGGGAAAAGCTAGGAGAGCAAAGATGGGATAGCTAGCATGAAAAGAAAATGAGGATTGGTAGAGAACAAAAATGGACAGGAAAATATGGCAACTTCTAGTCTTCAAGCTGTGTCTCAAAGAAAACGATTAAACATTTACGATGCCCAAGAGGAGCCTGCCAACTGGTTCTGCAGCGGGGAGGGAGGGAGGCCTTTTCTGTAGAGCACAGTGTTAGTGTTGGGGTAAATTATATTTTCCTTTGAAGAAGAAAAGGCTATTGTTAAGAAAAGTATTGAAGACTAACTGTATTAAGGAGTGAATTGTGAAGGGGAAATAAACTTTCAAGTATTAATTCAATGTGTTTAGGGTTTAATTTGTAATAGAAATTCTCCTGAAATTTTCCCCATTAGCTATTTCTTGAGCGTGAGCGAGCGGCACAGCTGGCCGAGAGCCAGACAGACGAATTGATTAAAGAAGCTCCGACTGCTCAGCATGATAAGAGTGGGGAATGGCAAGAGACAAGTGGGGAGATACAGTGGGTCTCCACAGAAAAGTCAGATAGTACTGAAGAGAAAGATAAGAAGGAGGAAGATGAAGAAGAACTTGATCTTAATAAAGGTACGTTGTCTAGTTGTGATGAGCTCAAAAAAGGCAAAGAGCTCTGTGATTGCATAAATTCCCACCTTGTCCTCTGCTTCCTATCTACATGCAGTCTCATGGGCTGAGATGTCCTTAGCGTATCCCCCAGGTGAAACTGTTACAGATCATAAGTAGGAGCAGTTCAGAGCTGAAGCATGAGAAGTGGAAGAAGTTATGCTTCTTTTTGTTTTCTTAATAGTACCTTCTGTCAGTTCCTTTTTTTGAAACAAACAAACAAAAACCAAACCAAAAAAAACCCCAAAAATCAAACCCAAACCTTTTTAGGGACATTCTGTATAAGCAATATGCTGGAAGAGGTGGCTTTTAGGCCTTTAGCTCGTTCTACTGAAACAGTCCTTGAAAGTTACCTGCCTTAATTTTGTTTTCCAGGGTATCATGACCCGTTTTTCTCTCGTGCTACTTTTAGGGTTTTTTTTCTTCCCCTCCCTATTTGCATGTATGCTGCTTCTGTCCCCATCTTCTTTGTGTCTGAGTTCTTCTCACTCCCTCAGTGGTATCTCAGGTACCTGTGTAATGCCTTGATGTGCTGCATCTTTGGTAGTTTGTTCCAGGAATTTGAGTATCTCTAAGCCGAGTTATGTTTGTCTCCAGAAAATGTATCAGGTCAGAAACATCAGTCTTTGTCGTTTAGTCTTCTAATAGTAGGTGCGGTGTATTACTTCTAATAGTGTTTTAATCTTCTAATAGTGGGTGGAGTATATTACTTTCTCCAACCTTGTTTTATATCCTTCCTCCTTTTTGTAGCTCCATCAACTGGTGTCTGCAGCTATTTGTGGTTTGTTCAAAAATGCTGAGTCATTAGCAAAAAGTGCTATAGCTGTTATCCTTAACACAAAAAACTTCTTTTGGTGGAACTCTTACTGTCTTATAGTATCACACAAAACATTTATGTTTGTGGTTTGGTGTGTTAAGCATACAGTTTGCACATTAAAATGGCAATTAATAAAATACTGTACAATGTATTGAACTGAAAGTGAATGAACACTGTTTTTCTGTTCAAAAAAAAGAAAGTTGCTGCTGAGTTGGTACGTACGGAGTTTGTCTGATTTTTGCCTCTGAAGTCTCAGTCCAAAAGCTCATTTTGTTTGAGAAAAAAGAATTCTGGAAAACGATAATGAAAGATTGTATTTGAAGCAGTAAAAGATACCAGCTGCTTAGAGAATACAATACACTCGGTTGTCTCTCTTCACAGCTCTTCAGCATGCTGGGAAGCACATGGAAGACTGCATTGTGGCCTCATACACAGCATTGCTTCTAGGCTGTCTCTGCCAAGAGAGTCCAGTAAGAGAATAAGTCAATAACTTGCTCTTAAGTCCAGTACAATTTTTAGTGAAGTAATAATTTGCAGTATTGAAATGGGTTTATTAAATTAGGGTTCAGTGTGAGCTAGTACTTTGGTGAAGCTACATTGATGTGTATGGTTCTGTGGAAAGTTGCCAGAGGTATTCCATCCAAAACAAATTTTCTGAACATCACTATGTTTATCGAAAACGGTTGGAATTGAATATTTAACCTCTTCTGCCTCTCTCCCCTTTGCTGTTAGTCTTAGCCCACAAATGAACTTACTTCGGAAAAGCAAAGGAAAATCGGCTCGCCTGTTCTATAATTATAAAAGCTTGCTTTATTTTTCAGTAGTTTCAATAAGCAAGTTAACATCCGACTTGTTTATTCCTTTTTTATCAGTCTGCTTTATTTTTTCCACCATTGAAATTACATGAAATTGTATATGTCTGTATTAGTTGGAGATGATTGCCTCAGATTGAAAATACATAATAGAAAGCTGGAGTTAAAACTTAAAAATATGGAACTCTAACAGCTGAGAACTTCATAACTCTCCTGTCAAATATATGCTCAAATGAAAATGAGGTTTAGACCTGCCTTCAGGCTTGTACTGTGATGGCAGAATCAGTCTTTAACACGTTCTTCTGTACCTTTTGACTGATTAGCTTCCATATAAGCTTTCATGACAATAAGTTCAGTAATTCTCAACCCGTAAGAATTATAAAGGGAGATTCTTTCCATGTCAGGAGAGTAATCTGGTGGGGTTTTTAGTTCTTGATAATCTTGTAGGTCCTGGGGAGGTCTGATGGTGGTAATGATCTTTAATGGAAGAAAAAAACAACAACAACAACAACAAAATATTTTAGCAATTGTTTCCTAGAAACATAAACACCATAAAGATGAGAGTATTGCTTGAGAGACTTAAAGCATAGAGATAACAGCAAAAGCCATTTTAATAATGCTATGAATATCCTTGTTTTATTGCATCTCACACGCAGATTAACATAGTTCTGTGTTGGAAAAATATTTCCCAAATTAAAATGTATTGCTTTATTTCTTAGATCAATGTGACTACTGTGAGAGAGTACTTACCTGAAGGAGACTTCTCAATAATGACTGAAATGCTCAAAAAATTTCTCAGTTTTATGAATCTTACTGTAAGTAATATATATATTTTAAATTGATGTATGTAGATATTTTTGTAATGGTGTTTTCTGTTAATAGTCCATACATTTTCAGAAGCATTTAACATTTTTCAGTTGTGTCTTTCTTTAGAAGAGCATGGGATGATTTTCTGTTTTTAAATACTGAAGACCCATTTGTCTGTCATTATTTTGGTAGTAAATGGAATGAAGCTACTTTCATTCGATTTGATTGTGACTGGTCAGGAAAATATTTTTGAATCCTCTGCCTGAACCTAATTGCTTTTACTGATACATAATTCTAAACAGTAAAATTCTGAAATGAGCATAGCTCTCAAATATTTTAAAGAGGTATTACAAATGCTTGTTTGTTACTTCTGTTTTCTATTACGTTTTCCAGTGTGCTGTTGGAACAACAGGCCAGAAATCTATCTCTAGGGTGATTGAATACTTGGAACACTGCTAGATACTTAACTTCCGCTGCAGGCACTCTAATGCTGGAGCTACCCTTAGACAAAAGAAGAAGTCATGAAAGAAGTCCTTGAAGGATATACCAAGAGCATTCATCTGTGTCATTCGTGTTCGGATTTTTAAGGCTACCTGGTCTCTTAACCATGCATTCAGCATTTTCTAAAAGACAGTTACTACATCAATCTGCAACTATCAAAAATGAGGGGAAAAAGGTTCTGAGGAAAATAAATAAAGAAACCATGCTGTCTATGATGCAGTGCAGTATTTAAATATTTTTTGGCAGGGTTTACCCTCCCTATCTTTTTTTCTTGCTTTGTTCGTGACAAGTTTCAAGGGGAAAAACTTGCTGCTGATAGTGCAACTGCTGTTTACTGTTGAGCCACTGTTTCATGCCAGCCAGGTGCAAAGGCAGCTTAGCTACTGAGGTATCAAACAAATGTTCTAATAAAGAAGTTCTGGACAGCAGCATCGCTCCTATTTGAGTTTAATTTGCTCTTGCTTTTTTATTACTAGATTATTCCAAAATCATAAAATATAAATTTTTAAATACTTTTGTGATTTTAACTACTGTCTATATTTAAAATTTGTTGGAATCCAAAGAGGCGAGGATTGGATAGTTTATTTTTTATACTGTTTTGATTGAAATTAGGTTGTTGAACTACTTCTCAGTTCTAAAACTGTCATGGCCCATGTACTGTAAACTGATAGACCATAACACTTTGTAGTTCCAAGAAGCATGCAAACCCATAACACACAAAGCCATTTGAGGGTATGTTATCCACAAAAGAAATAGTAACTGTAAAAAGTTGTGCCCTGTTTAAAAAAAGAAGAAAAAAAAAAAAGATATTCAATCCCAGGGTAGTTTACACTTCTAATAAGCAAAAACTTTGAAATGCTGTTTTAATTTGTTTCAAGGAAGCACTCAAGATGTATTTTATAATGCTCAATACAAAGAATTTGGATGTTTTAGGGGGAGGAATTTTAAAGAAGCTAAAACACCAATGGGGATTAATGTTTCCAGCTGACATAATCTTTCTATTTCATTCTTCTGTAGTATGACAAAGTTTAAATGCATACAACACAAAGCCTTAAATTGCTGATATAGCTAAGATTTTGTTCAGTCTGAGGTCTAGTTCACAGCAAAGCATTGTGTTTGAAGACTTAAGTGGAACAAAGAATCCCAGAAAATACATGACTTTTTTTAACAATTTTTTTCTTGCACTCATTATTCAGACCAACAGAATTGGTAATTATTTTTATTAAGCTGGTCTTGAATATTTGCAGACTGTTCTGAGATCTGCTTCATCAACGTTTTTAAATACCTGTATAGGTAGTTACATCATGTTATTCCATTGAATTTGTAAAACTTGAAGCCATAAAAATATTAGTTCTATGTATAATGAGGGGGAAATAACAGGAAATCTAACCTGCTTTTAGATCTTGTGTTATCTCCATGTATAAAGTTAAGAACTCGTGCTTTTGTATCAGTGCCAGCTGTAAATTTTTTACATACAGTGGCTGCCTTCTATGTCTTCCTATTTTTGATAATGCAGATTGTTGGGAATTCTGTAAGGAAGTAACTGATTAGCGGCAAAAATCCTATGTTGGTCATACTTTTTTGCATTTTCTCTCATCACCTTCTAAAACTTAGTGTATCAGTGTAACTTAGAAAAGTTCTTGAGGTTGTATTCCCCTTTGTTTAGAAAAACTCAGTATTGAGAGAGAGAGAGAGAGAGAAGCTGTATGTAAATGATTTACATCAGGAGGAAATTATTGAATATTTTGCCCATCTAGTTTTCTGATTTTACAGTTTTTCACTTATAATGGGTTTTCAAATTGATTATATATAGCTTTCTGTGGAGAGATGGCAAGAGAAAATAAAATATAGATGCGGTGATGGGGGAAAGCAGGGACAACTACCTTTCTTTGTTACACTGGTAATTGTTTGGGAATTGATTTACCTCAGTGTTTAACAGTTTTTTTTAAATGTAACTAATTGTCAAGCACTGACAAATGCAGATTTTTTTTTTTTGAGGGTGGGGGGAGAAATCACCCTGTGAACTGCAGTGCATTTTTGTGTGTTAGACCCTCAAATAACTCTGCATTAAAGGGTACTTGAGGCCAACTTGCAAATTAAAGTTTTAAAGTAACTTTTTTTCCATTGTAAATATTTGTGTAAATACTCTCAATTGGAAATTAGAACAGTAGAGTACTTTTCTGAATCCAATCCTATTTTTATTTTATACAGTATTTCTCAGCTGTGATCTTTGGAGCAAAAGCCAACGGCAGGAAAAATAGTTTGTACCAGTTTCATGAAGTATGTCTTTGGGTTTTTGTAAATAATTTTAACTCAAATAAAATTGCTACTTTCAATACATATCTTGTCTTTTAACATGTAATAAAACGCTCCTCCGAGTGACTGCAGAAAGAAGGCAGTGTCAGGTAAATTGTTAAAAGGAAAAAAAAAAAAAAGGGGGGGGGGGGGGGGAGGGGAAAAAAAAAGAATAGGAGCATCCTGAAGGTAGTGCTCCGTTTTTCACTGGTGTGTTGGGACAACAAAATTCAGTGCCTGGACACGAGGCTATGGTCAGTCAACCTAACTAAGGCTTGAAATTTTCTGGAGATGATACACTCAATCTCTTGATGCATTTTGGAGTTCTCCACGCGAGTTGCTATTGATCGTTCAGCTGAAGGGGCATGTAACAACTCTGAAGAGCTGTAGTTAGAATAACAAAAATAGGCTAAAGCATAGGGGAAATGGGGCAGTTCTTGTTATGGTGATTCTTTTCACATCATGGGGGATGTTAATGGCTTCTTTCTTCAGTGAAAAATGAGAAAATTACCATGAGCATTGCTCTGTTTCTCTATTAATATGAATGAATTTCAGGATGGATTTTTTCCCAGGGATTTTTTCTTAATTGATACAACTAGATACAGGTACAATATGCAATAATTCATGAGCTGTAAATCGAGTTGAATGTGTTGTGTCATCTCTTACCACTTTAACAAGCATCAGCATAATGTAACTTTATTTCTGTGCTGTAAAGTGATGTTACTGGAGTTTTTAATATGGAGCAGTATGTTGTTAGTATGTGGCACTGTAGGAGGCAAATACAGCTTTATGTAAGCAAATGTTTTAAAAAAAAAAATCATAACATCTGTTCAAAGTATTTCCTCTTGGTTATTTTGTCGGTAGATATCTAATGGAAGCATTATGCGTGGATGCTTTGAGATGACATCAGCATTTTCAGATTAACAGGGCAATTGTGAAGCTTCTATAGGAGGTTTGGGAGTCATAGCCTTTCACATAGATCATTTCACTTTCAGAGTGTTTTGAAATGCGTGATTTGCATAATAACAAAGTGATCTGGCATGATCTGTACAGCACTGGTTTATCAGAAGCTTAATGTAAAAGCAGGTAGTAGTGCTGCAGATGATTTCTCAAGCTGGCCTAATGGAGTTGTTTTTGTGCTGTCAGCAGATTGAGTCTCTCTGAGCAGAAAACTGGACAGTGATCACAAAGGTATAAAAGCTGCGTTCCTCCCCCTGAGCCGAGCATCTGTGCCAAGCGTGCAGCTGGAATAGTGCGGTTCTGCTCGGGAACTGAATAATCACTGCATGGCCGCTTCTGGGTGGACAAGAAGATAGTGGGAATTCTCATACCAATGTTAGGGTGTTACATTTTTTAACTTTTTCTGTAACAGAATAGTCTAACAGGAGTTCTTGCTTTTAACCATGTTTTCAGGCCCAAGTACCTCACTGAATAGATAAAGATGTTTTTGGTGTCAGATGCACTAGCGAGTATTCTGTCCTCCCTCATTTTTCCTTTCTGGACAACAATAATTCCTCCTTTGAGTAAGCAGAAGTCAAAGCATACTTGGTTAGCTGGGGCTATTACCAGGCAAGCCCACATGGCTTTTTCAGTAAAGTTTTTTTCATTAAGGGGGTACGTTTCTTCTTTAAATGTCAAGGAAAACAAAAATATGTATTTGAGCTCAAAAGATAAAGAGGATTTAAGTAGCTGCCATTCTTCTGCATCAAGCCCTTCCTTATAGCATGGCTTGTTAATTGGGTTTTTGAAGATAATGAGATTGGAATTTGCCCTGAATCCTGCTAGCCAAGTGTTTTCAAAACCAGGCCAATGTAATTCTTAATGCTGCTGCTTCTCCTCCTCTGTGTAATATGTTGATTTGTCTTTGGGTAAAGGACACTACTGGATTATTTTAGCTACGTGGAACAGAAGCCATTCATACTTTTTTTTTTTTTACCTGCCTTAAAGTTCCCCTACCTGAGGGACTGTAATTTATTAAGGCATTTGCAGTATTAGTAGGTGCAGATAGTCTTATTGTAAATAAAAGTGAAACTGTTACAAATAATGCAACTGCATCAAGTTCTTATCTAAAGGTAGATTGATTTACTAATGCCACAAGGATCTTTATTCCAACTGTGAAAATTGAACTTAATTTGCAGCTATAGGTTAAGCCTCAGGTTGCCATGCTTGGTATGATATGTCTGTGTGTGACAACAGGCACTCCCTGGTGATGCAGAGGGTGTTGTAAGGAGCCCTGGAAAAAGCAGTCCTCATTGGGAGGAAAGTGATGCACGCTAGAGACTCCTTAAATTTGAAAGACAGACATCCTGTCTTTCACCTCCTGTCTTCCAAACTGTATCTCTACGTCTTCTAACCCCCAACTACATGTTGAACTTCCATTTCATCAGCTTAGAGGAGTAAAGGCCAAAGAATTTCTTGAGATGTGTGGAAAGCTAGATTGCTAAATAATAAAAAGAGTCGTTCAGACAGTAGTACCTATGTCCACTGTGTAGACTCAAAATTCTCGTCTGTCTTAGGTGATCCAAAGTTATTTAGAGGAAGGTTCATTGTTGGATAAATATTAATAGTAGGGTAAACTTTTGCAGGGTAAAATTAGGTGATATGGAAGAGAGGACTCTCTTTGGAGTAAAGGAAAGAATAACAGGAATTTTATTTAGATTTACTGTTTAGTGTGGGAATTCTTTAAGTTTCCTTTATTACAACATAAGATCTAATTGTGTCTCTGCATTTAATTTTTTAAAAGTGGGGAGGAGGAGTGTTAACCTCGAGTGTGGAGCAGATTAAAGGATTTTTGTTCCACCTGTAAACCTGACCCTGTGACTGTCCTAGAACAGCAGTTCAGTGTTGGACAAGTGAGTGAGTAATAACAGTCTGTGTGTGTGTGCGCGTTGCTCTTTTCCCTGAGGTTTCTAACTGTCCCTTTACCCTCTTAAGAGGATTAAATGTATTCTCACCATGGAAAATAAGGAATAAAGACCCTGAAAAGAGGATATTCTACCAGGAGAAAGATTTGAGTCAAAGGTGCACCAAAGAGTTTATGTTTAATTGTGGAGATGAATATTTACCACCTGGATAAATATTTTTGTTAAAGACCCAAACCAAACTTCTTCAACAGGTTCTCAGCTTGCATTGTTTTCTCCTTCAAATTCATTGATGTTTAATCAATAGAAACCAAAACTTGAGAAAAGTTACAAGGAATACAATTGGAAGGAAATTAAAAAAAAAAACACAAATACAGATACTAGAAATAATTTTACTTTTTTCCAGCCAGTAATTGACCAAAGAAAATGTATTTAACTAGCCTGTTTGATGGGAGAAGGACTTGTGAATGTGGCTGTGATATATGTCCTAGTGACAGTTGCTGCCATTTGGTTTCCTTCTGCATTACAGTATTCTACTTGGTGGAAAGCACACGAAAAATATGTGGGAATGTATATATGCGTGCGCACACATATCTGTTTTTCACACATAATGTATATATGCGTGCGCAC